TTGGACCTATAAAATGCCCAGATGTCTACTGAGTACTCAAGAGTATTACAGCCTAGTTAGCATTTAACAAGAAGAATGTGTTGGAGCAGGGACAGTATAAACCAGGGGTCCCCAAACTACGGCCCAAGGGCCGCATGTGGCCTCCTGAGGCCATTTATCTGGCCCCCGCCACACTTCAGGAAGGGGCACCTCTTTCATTGGCGGTCAGCGATGCATCTGTATCCTGTGCTCCTGGAGTACTGTATATGGCAGTGCCGCAAAGCGCGGCGTCGCTCATGTACAGCACTACTTCCGGTGACGCAGGACGCACACGTCACAGCTCTGGAAGCGTGTCATATGACGCACATCCGGTCTGTGGCTGCAGCGCCCCACATCACCGGAAGCAGTGTGAAATAACAGCAGAAGTAGGAAGAAAGGCAAAGCACTATAACCATTACTACACAGTACAATGGCCCCCATACTCCCCAAAATGTACAACAACATAATGGCCCCTATAACCTCCCTTTGCCCAAAAGTCTCCCCCCACATTACTACACACCGTGTTTCCCCTATTATAAGAACCTGTCTTATATTAATTTTACCCCCAAAAGATGGGGGCTGTCTTATTTTTAGGAGGTGTCTTAGGGGAAACATGCAGCAGTGGGCTTCCCACAGAAGAGGCCCACCGCCGCTGCAGATGTCCAGGATGCTGTATACACAGTGTCACAGGCTGATCACCGCCATCCCTGTATATAGCACTGGAGGCAGTGCTGGGCCTGTGACACTGGATACTGCTGTCTGGGATAGTGGAGGCAGCAGCGCTGGCTGTGAAGGGTGTCACACCTGGCATAGTCCGGCCCTCCAACGGTCTGAGGGACAGTGAACTGGCCCCCTGTGTAAAAAGTTTGGGGACCCCTGGTATAAACCAAATACCAACTGGAGCTGCTGGCAGCAGAGCCCAGCCCCGGACGGGCCTGGTAGAAGGTTTGCAGGGATACTGCCACCTGCAGGTGGGAGGGAGGTGGCCTCCCTTCATTGCCATTCTGAGCCTAGAGGTGGCTCGTGAGGCCTCATTTGGGAGGGTATGAGTGTAAAGAACAAGGACTGGGGTTATAGCAGGGCTGCGGCGAGACCCCTGGGGCCTTGTGCTCACACCCCATTCTCACCTGTCATCTTGCCTTTGGTCTTCCGCCCAGTTCTCTGGGCTCCTACCACCAGTTGTTGCCTTAAGCCTGGCTCTCCTTGAGTGGTCTGGAATAGAAAACAGTCTGACAGCTGCTTCCTGTCCTCCAGGGCCTTTTGCAAAAAGGACCAAAAGCTGGGTCTGCAGTTATTGGGGAGACTCACAGGGCCCTCCCAGTCCAGCCAGAGCAGCCCTTGCCCAGGAAGGGGCAGGCGTGTGGGATACAGAGGAGAGCAGTTGGGGGAAGTACGAGAGTGGCCAGAGAGATGCCTGCCGAGCAGCGGCACTGGGGAGGGGTCGGGGTCTGCCTGGTCTATTCGGCTGTGAGGTTGGGCAAGCACTGCTGGGTAATTTGTTCCTAACTGATGGTCCAGAGGTTGTTCCAGCCTCCCCAGTCCTCAGGATGTTGGCCCTGTCTTCGGGAGCATACAATTTGTCTAATTCTGGAGCTAGCCCTCGCCTTCTGGACATGGTGATGGCCGAGAATCAGGCATTCTGCCGGGTCTGGGAGCTAGGTCCTGTCCTCAGCCTTCCTTTTGCCATGGGCCCCTGTTGGCAGTGGACCAACGCATTGTGTAACCTGCGGGCACTTTTCCTCCATGTTATCAGCCTGAGGCGTTAGAAGCCTGTTTGAGTGTTGTGGTGCAGACGATTAGGAGTGTGGTTTTGATTTGTTTGGGTTTTTAACCACAGTGTCTGAAACTACTGGTAGGCAGGCTCAGCAGTTTGTGTACCCTGGATGGCTTCTCTCCCAATCCTCTTTGAGACCTCTATTCCTAGATGAGCTATGAGGAGATACTGAAAACGACTCTGTTCAGATGAGGATTCTGACAGCCTCCCCGTTTGCTGCTGCCGTTGCCCTTAGACTTGAAGCCCCAGATGCTGTCGGGTGCTGTGCCCTGTCTCCCAGCCTACATCCTCTACATGTGCATCCGGCACGCAGACTACACCAACGATGATCTCAAGGTGCATGCCCTGCTGACCTCCACCATCAATGGCATTAAGAAAGTCCTGAAGGTAAGCAGCCTCTGCAGAAGATCATGGTTTGTGATGGGTGGGCAAAGCCAGCCACTCACCATTGCTTCTCTCTGTCTGGGTTTGGCTGTAGTGAATTCTCCCAAGGCTCCAACTTTGAACGTAAATGAGGCACAGAGGCATCCATGTAACCCAATGCCTGGCAGTTCCCAGAGAAGGATGCTTAAGCCCAGCAATGGCAGGAAGCCCAGGACTCTGGTGTAGGTAGCCCTCCAGCCCCTCCCTGCTGAGCCTCCAGACATGCCCAGTGCCTACAGAAGCCTTGGCCTGCCCACTGCCAGAGATGCTAGGGAGACATCCTGCTGCTGCCAAGGAGGTGTGGGCCTCGCCCTGGACCAAGTTTGGGCACACCCCTGGAACATGGGCCCTCTCCACCTTTCTTGAGTGCTTGCTTCCCTGGGGGATAACACAGGGAGGGCTGTGACATTCATCACCTTCCAAGGTAAGGCAGCCCACAGGACAGGGCTGCCCGCAGGCTGTTAAGGTTGCTCAGGAATGCCACCTGAAGGCACAAGGCTCTTGGTGAATGTGCAGCTGCCACTGAGAAACAGGCCTGCAGGGAGGTGAGGCCTTTCCACCCAGGGTGAGGGCAAGGCAGTGGGAGGTGGGATTTTTGAGGGAGACGAGCCCTCAGTAAGAGGGTTTTCTACCTTCTGGCAGTCCTGTGCCCCGAGTGTTATTGCTCTTAGAGACCATCTTAGTTCTCACACACTACTGCTTCCAGGATACAAGCCATTCTCAAAAACTCTGAGTCCAGACCAATTCTGGGGTTCACTGAGCTGCTAGTTGCTACTCTGAGAATTCCAGAGCCAGCCTTTAAGTCTGGTTTCCTGCCCTCAGTAGCTGCATTGTCCACAGGTGATCTTATCCACTCACGGCTCTAAAGCATACATCTCCATGCTAGTGGCTCTCAGATTTGTGTCTCCAGCCTTGACCCTCTTTCATGAGCATCATCCGGCTGGAATCATGAAAGAGGGTCAAGGCTGGAGACACAGAGCGCGTCATCCGGCTGGAATCTTGGGCCAGTCTAGGCCAGTTTAAGGCTGATGCAAATGTCACTTCCTTAGGAAAGCCTTCCCTAATTCCAAGCTAAAAGAGCATGTCTCAGCCCCACCAGTCACTTTCTATTCAACTTCATACCATTCTGACATTTAAATAATAACACTTGACAGAATGAGCTGCATGAGGTCATCAGTTTTAATGCAGCAGCTGTCTCATAGCTGTTTGGTTTGCTGAATAGGCTTTTTCACCTAGTTAGGGTTTGTAACCATTTTCTAGGGAATTAAAGCCTTGACACATCTGTCCTCTAGATAAATGGGACACCAAAACATTTTGCTGTCATGCTCTTTTAGAATCCAAGGAATCGGGTAACCGGCAGTTTAGAAACAGAGCCAGCTAGCCCAGGCAGTTTGACGAGAGCCCAGGGCTGCTGGGGATGAGCCTCATCTGTCACACAGCTTTGCTTTCATTCTTCAGCCGTGGAAGACGGCCTGTCCTTTCTGCGTGTCAATGATACAATTTTGAAGTGCAGCTGTATGTGCACCACTGATCAGGGGACCAAGACAGGGGTTCTGTGTACATACTTGTTGGCAGAGGATTAGTCACACAGCCTCTCAGCAATGGATCTCATTCCCGTGACTGGCAAGTGCCCTGCCCACCCTCAGGGCTGCTCAGGAACGCTGGATAAGAGCAGGAAACGTGGGGAGAGAGGTACCAAGGAAGCATCTCACCAGACGGGAGCCACTTAGAGCTGGGGATGTCCTTTTCTTTTCACAGAAGCACAATGATGACTTTGAGATGACATCATTCTGGTTATCCAACACCTGCCGCCTTCTTCACTGTCTGAAGCAGTACAGCGGGGATGAGGTGAGGGGGAGCCGGCCACCCAGGAGGTGTCCCTTCTTCATCCAAATGCAGTTGAGAAGTGCTTTGTATCCCCTCAGGAGAGGTCAGAGGGGTCTTTGGAGCACCCTTGGGGTCCTCAGACCATGCGCACCCCTTATCATACCTGGTGGCTGGAAGCAGGAATAAAGCCAGCCACAGGAGACCTGCCTCCAGGAGGCCTTGATGAGCCCAAGGGGCCTCAGAAAGCACTCCTGGGTTATGTAAGTAGAGTCTTTATAACCCATCATCCATAGAGGCCCTGGGAGTCTCCATGAAAACCTTGTAACCTTCTATTTCTTAAGCAGCTCTAGAAGAGCCCCACTGCAATGGATACTGGCAGGAAGCTCAGTTGCCTAGTGGGTCACCTGTCTCCTAAGCCATCCAAATTATCTGTCCATTTCGAGATAGACAAAGATGGCCACAAGAAAAGAGGCACCCATAATCAGAACTCCATGTGTGCAAACTAGCCTGGAGGCCCAGCTCCATGCCTTTATCCAAATTGGATTCCTTGACCTGAGGCCCAACTGACACCATCACTTCACATTCCACACTGAACCTGTAAGGCCCAGCTTTTTCTGGAACTCACCTTCCCAGCTTTGGTCCCTGAAAGAACTTCTCCAGTGCTCTGCACTCTGCCTAGTGACTTAGTAATATGTGACTTGTTTTCATTCTTGTTTCTCTGGTGAGAATCCCAAGTCGTTCCAGACATGCTCACTCACAGATTCCTATAGATCTTTCTGATATTTCCTTTGCTTCCGTTCATATATCCCACCATCTACCCTTCCCAAGGTCAAGGCATAGTGTAAACCAAATAGTGTGACCATTTTTAAAGCTTTATTCCATCTTTTTTGCCAGAACCAATTTTGACAGACCCTTCTCCCTGGGTTATAAGAGGATGTGCCCTTCCATTCAGTGTTACCTTCTTCGTGGTTGGCGTGACTCCATAGCTCTCCTAAGAACCAGAACTGCATTTGACGGCCTGCTTTTATTATAAAGGGGATGGGCGAAAGGTTGAAGAAATGGCCATTTCAAACCACATGCCTTCTATTACAAAATCATAATATCCAAGCATTTACTTGAAGCGTAGAACTACATGTAATGTTATTTCATTGAGGTCCATCACTTTACCCAATGTTAGATACATTCTAAATAAGGCTAGGGCAGGATCTAGAACTCCATTACATTAGGCTGTTGCTTCAGGTGCTTATATTCTCTGGGGCAAGACCTGAACTACAGCATAACCAGATCCATGTAGTCCAAAAACAAGGAAGAATGAACGAATCTATCTCCATGATTACAGTTATCCCCTCTTCTGCCTGGTTTTGTTCGCATTAAGATGGCTTTGTATTTGACACAGTACAACAGGCCTTGCTGAAGACGGTCACACTTTTGGAAGCACTAATCTTTTTGGCTGCTCTTGGTTTCTCCCTTGCCCTGACTGGAAAGGACATTGGACACATGTGTCCTTCTGATATCAGCAGTTCTCTTAACTTACATGTTATTTCATCTGATTAATACGGAAAGCTAAGAGGACACACTGCTGTAGCTATGAAATCATTTTAGTTCATCTGTTCATTCTGATACCCAGTGATAGAATCTGTATAAAATTTCCCCCATACAAACATATCATCTGGCCCACACGCCTTTAGAGGCTGCATCTCATCTAACACTTTCGGGGGACCTGGTATATTGGGGACAGCACTGGACGAAGTTAGAGAACAGGGATCCCTTTCTCTGGACCCGGTACCAACCTGGGTTTTGCTACCATAGGGAAATCACTTCACTTCGGGGATTTGGACTGAACGATTCAGGCCTTCTCTCTCATGTTGAGTTTTTCTACTACCTTGAAGTTCGAGGGTCATCAGTGAGGCCTCAAAGAAATGACAGGGTTTGTAAAACAACATCTACATAGAGAGGACGTTGGTAGGCCCCCCGCCCACCAAATAGATGACTAAAGTGACCAGAGCCCCGGAAGTGGTGCTGGGCCTAGCAGACTACAGAATCTCAGTAGTGCCCGCCTCTCCCTCTGCAGGGCTTCATGACTCAGAACACTGCAAAGCAGAACGAACACTGTCTTAAGAACTTTGACCTCACCGAATACCGTCAGGTGCTGAGTGACCTTTCCATTCAGATCTACCAGCAGCTCATTAAAATTGCAGAGGGCGTGTTACAGCCGATGATAGGTAAGCTGGCAGCAGGAGAGCTCCGTCACTCATCATGGGGTCTGAAATGAGGGGAAGATGTGGTCAGCACCCTCTGCCTTTCGGGAACCAGATATATTAGCCACAGAACCTTCACGGTGAAGGCAGAACCAAGGGGTGCACATCGTGCTTAAAAAGAGCTGTGAAATCCCATAAAATTAACGATGCTAGGGTATTTGACACAGGGCAAGAGGTGTAGAGGACTTCCCCTTTATCTTTTTGGAATATGTTGTATTTTTCCAAATTAATTTTAATACATAATAAATATAAACTCAAAGGTACAAATGCATATACAGTGAAAAACCCCTCTTAACCTATTATGAACTTGATTCATGGAAAAAAGAAAGCAGAAGTATGTTCATGCAAAAGGACACAGCAGTAGGCACAATGCAGTAGTATTTATTAGACACTTGCTTTGAACAAAGCAGTGTATTTGGGCACTGAACGTGAAATCAGAATCGAGAAATGAGAGCAGTTAAGTTTGCTGCTGCTCCGAGGTTCAAGCGATTCTCTTGTCTCAGCCTCCTGGAGTAGCGAGGACTACAGGCACACGCCACCATGCCTGGCTAATTTTTGTATTTTCACAAAATGTTGTGTAGATGCGTTATTCACTGTGCTCTGCAAAGGCTGGGAAGGAAACTGTTCTTGAACCCATTCATCATGCTTTCTCCAGGTTCTCACAACACAAGTAAGTTATGGGTGAATCGTAAGAAGGACCAATCTAGAAATACATTACTTGAAATGAGGTTTATTCCAAACCCTCCTTCCTGTCTGGAAATCTTTTTATAAGGCACCAGACAGAGGGAGAACTGACATATCAAGCTAGAGGTACTCAAATTAATGTGACAGTTAATAGCACCACTTCTGGAGTCAGACAGACTTGGGTTTAAATCCTAGCCCTGCCACTCCTTATCAGTGTGACCTCAGGCAAGTTATTTAACGTCCTTATGCCTCAACTTCCTTGTAAAAATGGGTAGTACTGCCGGGTGTTGTGGCTCACGCCTGTAATTCTAGCACTTTGGGAGGCCAAGGCAGGTGGATCATGAGGTCCGGAGTTTGAGACCAGCCTGGCCAACATAGTGAAACCCCGTTTCTACTAAAAATACAAAAATTAGCCGGGCATGGTGGCATGTGCCTGTAGTCCCAGCTACTCCGGTAGGCTGAGGCAGGAGAATCGCTTGAACCCAGGAGGCAAAGGTTTCAGTGAGCCAAGATTGCACCACTGCACTCCAGCTTGGGCAGCAGAGTGAAACTTCATCTCAAAAAAAAAAAAAAAGGGTAGTACTTCATAGAGTTGTTGGAAGATTGAAAGAGATACTGAACATAAAGCCTCTAGTACATAGGTAAATGCTACTCAGTAGGTATGATAGACCAATGACGCTCATATTTACATAGTCAGTGTCGGGGCCTGAGTGACTCCCCAGTTGCTCAATTCTCAAACTGTGGACTTTAGCACAGGCAATACTGGATTGAGCTAGTACATGCCCATCATCTTTGTCTCATCGCCAATAAATTTAATTGAAAATGCTGTCCACAGTTGTTTTATTCCATATAGAAATCAACACTTAGAAATTCTTTGCCAAACGTTATAAGCTCCTGAACAGGTCAATATTGCACACCTCTAGATGGTATCACTGCTAAAGCCCCGAGCATTAAATGATCTGAGTGGTTCAGTGAGCTTTGCATTGTTCATGGGGAATGCAAACTTCTGTAATTGTGCTTTTCTTTCAGTTTCTGCCATGTTGGAAAATGAGAGCATTCAGGGTCTCTCTGGTGTGAAGCCCACCGGCTACCGGAAGCGCTCTTCCAGCATGGCAGATGGGGATAACTCATACTGCCTGGAAGCTATCATCCGCCAGATGAATGCCTTTCATACAGTCATGTGTGACCAGGGCTTGGATCCTGAGATCATCCTGCAGGTATTCAAACAGCTCTTCTACATGATCAATGCAGTGACTCTTAACAACCTGCTCCTACGGAAGGATGTCTGCTCTTGGAGCACAGGCATGCAACTCAGGTAAGAGAGGAGCACCCCGCAACAACACAGAGAGAGTGGGCCCTCACTGACTCCAGCTAGAATCAGGACACAAGACTGCTGTTTCTAAAAATGAAATCCAAATCTCATTGGCAATCCTTGTCTCCATCAGTCTTGTGACTCAGATCCATCACCTTTTTATCTGTTGGTGAAATCCATCGAACACTGAGATGGTGACTTGGTAAACAAATTAGTTCAAAGCTCAAAGATATTGATATACTCTAAGTTAAAGACTAAATACAAAGCAGATAGGTCAGCGAGGAAACTCAGTAAGTTAACAGGCATGAAGACTCACACAGAAGTACAAATATGGTGGTGAATGTTTAAATACTTAACAATTCAGTATATTTAATGCCTGTTTTTCACCACTAACTTAAGTGTCTACATAACCACTAACTTATGTAGACACTTCAGGTATTTCATCTTTGCTTGATTTTATGTATCCACTCATTCATTTATTCATTCTTTATTCAACGAATAATTCCTGAGCACAAGGCATTTGCCATGCTTTTTAACCATGTGAGATAAATAATGACACTAGCTGCAGCTTACATGTAAAACACAGCAGGTGTCCCCTTCTTGGTGAATTGGAGGACCAGCTTAACACAGCTTGCTTTCTGCCTATGGCTAAGGTACAATATAAGTCAGCTTGAGGAGTGGCTTCGGGGACGAAACCTTCACCAGAGTGGAGCAGTTCAGACCATGGAACCTCTGATCCAAGCAGCCCAGCTCCTCCAATTAAAGAAGAAAACCCAGGAGGATGCAGAGGCCATCTGTTCCCTGTGTACCTCCCTCAGCACCCAGCAGGTATAATCATTCTGCATCTCTGTCAACCATGATATTCCAAGCAAGCCCAGTGTCCATTCCAAATCCGTTCTTGTTAGTGGTTATTTGTTAGTGTTGTACTCCCAACCTTTATATACCCCTAATGATACAATTTTGAGGTGCAGCTGATGGGATATTCCTAGGTGAACCAAAGACCATTTGGTCTGTGAAAAAAGATGCCATGGATACTGCTTTCTAATCTCCCTATCCCTCTTACTCACTTAAAAAGGTAAGGTAGCAAACCCACAAAACATTAAGCTTAGGTAAAAACTTTTTAAAATATAATGAATTCTGGAATATTTCTTATGTAGAAATTTATAAATTTTCAGAACTGGGCAGCATTAGGTATTTGCTTTCTTTACAACTGTAATTGTAAGAAAACTAATTTAATTGTAATTTAAAACTAATTTCAGTATGGTCACATTTTCACTCACGCTCCATTTATATTGTTTTAAATGAAGTCATTAATAACCTAGGGGTATTCAAATGTTACTTTCCTTTTCCCTAAAAAATGTGTAACTATGAATCAGTTGCAGGCATGTTGCTAGTCCCTAAAAGATAAATAACAAAATCCAAACTCAGTACAGAAAAGTAAACACATCTTAATATAGCAAAGTTAACTTTTGCTTACCTCCTCTAAAAGATTAAATACTGAACTCTTAAAAAAACTGCTTCCTTTTGTACATATTTACAGAAAGTCTTCAAACATTTTTCTACCTTTTCTTTTTTTTTTTTTTTTTTGAGATGGAGTTTTGTTCTTGTTGGGACTGGAGTGCAATGGCGCAATCTCGGCTCACTGCAATCTCCGCCTCCCAGATTCAAGCGATTCTCCTGCCTCAGCCTCCCCAGTAGCTGGGATTACAGGCACCCGCCACCATGCCCTGCTAATTTTTTTTTATTTTTAGTAGAGACGGGGTTTCGCCACGTTGGCTAGGTTGGTTTTGAACGCCTGACCTCAGGTGATCCACCCAGCTCGGCCTCCCAAAGTGCTGGGATTACAGATGTGAGCCACCACACCCGGCCACATTTTTCTCCCTTTTAAATACATTTCACTTATATAAGTTTGCTTCTAGAATGTAGCTGGCATTGCATTTGGGCAGCCTACCTCCACCAAACCATTGGTAGGCAGACAAAAGAGTATCTCCTGTTCAAATTCTAATTTGTAAACAATTTTGGGGAACGGGGTAGTTAGGTGTTAACAAGACCTTTCTCATCTAAGGTAAGATCTCCAGTACTCTTCAGAAGAAACCTTTAACTTACTAGTAGATAAGAGGCTGAGGATTTCAGGCCACCGCATTCTAAACGCCTCCCATTGTGTATACCAGGCGTCCCCAAACTGAGGCCATTTATCCGACCCCCACAGCACTTCAGGAAGGGGCACCTCTTTCATTGGTGGTCAGTGAGAAGAGCACAGTATGTGGCGGCCCTCCAACAGTCTGAGGGACAGTGAACTGGCCCCTGTGTAAAAAGCTTGGGGACGCCTGGTATATACCAATGATCATAGTGGGGAGGGGCAGGTGGGTTTACATGAGACGTGAATTCAGTGAGAGGGCTCAGATCCACCTGGCAAAGCTGAGGGCTCTAGTTACCTGGATGTAGGCTCCAAGTGTGAACATCAGTCCAGCTCCATCTGTGTTGTGGGCCTTGTCTAAAGAGGATCGTACTCTTGTCCCAATGTCCCATATTATTTAAAGTTCAAAAGTTGTCTCATGTTCATTTAGTGCTGTGTTAAATTGTTTTTACCCCAACAGATAGTCAAAATTTTAAACCTTTATACTCCCCTGAATGAATTTGAAGAACGGGTAACAGTGGCCTTTATACGAACGATCCAGGTGAGTTTTAAAATATTAATTTTATAAAGTCCTAGTCTAAGACTGTAAAGGAAGTTGAAAATTTGGATTTCAACCTTGCTTCTCTTTATTACTAAAAACTGGTTACATTATATGCTAGGAGACCTTATATTCCTAGGCTTTCTATTTAGGTAAACATG